AAACTGAATTGTAGCTTTATAAACCCGCAAGCTTACAACTGAGCCACCTACTTCTCCGAATTCCCACAAAAGGTTATCAACAAGTGCTGTTTTCACTCACCATGAAATATCAGACACAGGAATGTATACTGTTTCGGAAAAATATCAAGTGGACAAAAAGTTGTTTGGACATCGAGGTAATGTAGATGTGCCAGGTGGAAGTGACCTACTGATTATACTGGTGTTTTTTCTGGTACTTATGGTTAGGCCACTGCTACTAAGACTATCTGCCGTTGTTCCTAATTTTGAACTACTGTTTAGAGGGAAAGCAGCCTGTCAGCAGCATCTTACCACCCAACATCCACGTTAAGGGATTGACTGTAACTCTTATATCCCACTCACAGTTAAAGTACCACAAATAGTTTGTGGTATCGCAAAATTCGGATTTAGTTCGCCAGCAGCGAAAACTAGAGCTCTACCACTGCGTCAACCTTCGTCCGTTCTCTTTACAATTAATATTTTAAAGGATTGTACTGGCCTAGTGGTTAGAGCACTCGAATCGCAATCTGAGGGTCGTGGGTTGGAATCCCGTCCTCAAACATGCTCGCTTTTTCAGCTGTGATGGTCAATGCCAGTATTCGTTGATAAGGATTAACCCCAGAGTTGGTGGTGGGTTTTGTTGAATAGATGCCATCCTTCTCGTCTATCACTGCTAAATTAGGGACGGCTAGCCCTCAAGTAGCTTTGCGCGAAATTCAGAAACAAAAAAATAAAGGTTACAAATTGACATACTATTGAACCATAAACACTTATTTTATTATACCATTCAATCGAGATCTAGTGTCTTTTGTAGTTTCAACCTGAACAGTTTTTTATAGGACACACATGTACCTAACGGTCAGGTCAGAAATCCAAAGGTTTAGGCACAACTGATTCTAATTTTGAACTTGTGACCGGAAGGAAGGCAATAGTCAGCAGTACCCATCGTCTTAATCGAATAGGAATATTAACTGTAAGTTGTACAACGCAGCCACACCAGAAAATGTGGAGCATGTCTATCGTCAAATTGGCGGGTTTGGACCTTTCGATCTGTAGCCCGGCACACTTACCACTAGCCACGTCCAACCACGTCATTTATAGTGCATGTTACAGCTGGTATGATTTTCACTCAGAACCACCAGCTTAGTTTATTGCTCGGTCAAAATAACACCGACATAAAAACAAAAAAGTTAACTCATAGCAGTAGTGACGAAAATATTTAAAAAATGGATTATAATATAATAATTCAAATACCTGAAGTATACGAGATAATGAAAAAACAGCTTTCTAGAATCAGAAAAAAAGGTTTGGCGCATGACTAACTACAGCCTCCTCGTAAATATCCATTGATTTTATAAAAGTATATATTCAATATATAAGTTCGTGCGAGTGTTTGGAAATTTATTTTGTTTATAAACTACCTTCTTTATTTACCTGTTCATAATTTAAAAAAAATTGAATTTCATATTGGTTATATAAAAATAAGAAATCCTATAACCCCGAGTGCTTTCGAAAGGTAGATCCTTCTTTGAGAGGGCCAAATTGGGAGTACTATTTATGTGGCTTTATCTAGTGTCATTCAGACAATTTATTTCAATTGGCAGCAATCATTTTAAAAATTGTGAGCAATCATATATTCAATAATAGATAAATGTATTGAATATTAATGAAGTTTTCTATTGAAAGTTCTTGAAATTATTCTGTGTTGAAACAGTTAATGCCAGAATTGGAAAATAACCTGTAGACAAACAGCAAACACACATAAAATGTGAAACGAATTTATTCATCATTTATTTCCATACATTTTTATAGTCTTAAGATGTCTACAAAATCAAATTACATTTGGTGAAATATGAAAGTATTTTAAAATATTGTAAACAATGTTTAATTACAGAAATCGCTAAATACTTAAAATTATAATTCGGTTTGTGCCTTTTTTAACCTGAAAAATTATATTTAATATATTTATTCTCTATTAAGCTGTATATTTCACAGCTAGGGTTCGAAAGTAGAAAGTGTGTTTGTAGTTAAGCGCAAGGCTATACAATGGGCTATCTGTGCTGTACCATCACGGTTATCGAAACATGATTTCTAGTGTTATAAGTCCACAAACGTACAGCTGTGCCACTGGGGCGCGCGCAAGTAGAAAGATACATTTATTTTTACAACAATACATAAATCGGGAGTTTTTGAGTCCTTTTGAATGCACCTTATAGTAACCTAAATTAACTTAGATTACTTTATGGTGAATTCAAAACCACTTAAATCTTATATACGCATCACCATTATAAGAGGATTAACTGTGTTTTATTAGTTTGCTGACCGAAGCTGTGTTGATGAGCCTTGAATGGGCAAAATAGCAGTCTACATCAGAGAGTACAACCAATCAGGGAATGAATTAGGCTTCTACGTCACAGATTATCTTTTAAATTTTACCATTGGTGAAGAAGAAAAGAAATCTGTAACGTATATAATATATAAAACGATAACATAACAGCAGAGGAGGAACCTATAGATCAAAAGTAATTCTCCACAGATAAAGGAGTTTAAAGGTTCCTTGTATTGATATCGTGACAAAGGTGTGTGAACTTTCTCAAAAAGATAATAATTAAATATGACGTTTTTTTTTAGAAAACAGTGGCCTGGATTCTTGAAGCATCTAGCAATATTTGTCGAAGCTATTTATTGTGTTTTGAACAATCTTTTGTAAATCTAAATCGGTTATTTTCGATTTTGTTGTAACAGAAAGTCGTAGTGAATGTAAAAAAAAGCATATGAGATAGTTGAGAGATTAAAAATTTATACTGAAGAAAAAAAGATTACCATTAACCAAAACATTACCCTAACAATATTTACAACTTTTTTTTGCCGAGATTTGATTGAAGTATTTGCAAGGTGTCCACAAAATATTTTCAGTTTGCATTTCGTGATCTCAACTAGCCAATAAGTTTGGGTGTACAGGTTCACGTAGTATTTTTTAATGTAGGTTGCAACACCGTTACCCATAAAAAAATGCTTATAATATAGGTGTGAGAAACCGTTTATATCTTCTTTTTGGAAGGCAGGGATACAATCCAGTGGATTTATCTTCCAACAAGAAAACCTAGCTTGGATCCTTAGTCAAAAGACTGTTCTTTTTCGGAAGACAGCAAGAGATTAGCAGCTGAAACATAGGGCGTTTGTTTGGTTTGAAAATTCGCTGAAAGCTATATAAGGCTATCTATACTAGCTGTCCCTAATTTGGAACTGGTAGACTGAAGGTAAAGCAACTGGCCAACGGCGAGCACCGCCTGATCTTAGGTTATTCCAATTGAACAGTGGGATTTGATCTTAACTCTACTAACGCACTCGTGGCTTCAAAGTGCGGAGCACATTTCTCCGGTAACGGGACGCGAGCCATGGACCCCAAGATTTCTAGTTTGGCATGCTAGCCACTAGGCCACGCTTGGTCCAGGACGTTAGTAGATTTGTATTAGATAGTAAAAACATAATAACAAGTGATTGTGTAGTCTAATGTGGAGGTAAGGAGGTGCCGATCACCACAACCACACCGAAGTACCACGTCTAATCTCAGTTTGATATTAGGGTTAGCTACGTACAAACAATGTTCGTTGTAGGTCACATAGAGACAAATTTATTTTGATAAAAAATCTGCAAATAAAACGGCTGAAATGTCTACCTTTACATAGTAAATTATCTCTACACAACAGCGACATACACATTTACCCACAATCCCCATCGATGACACGTGATTATTATGGCATATTTCTTATCGAAGGCTCTGAAATCAATAAAACTGACAGATTATTACTATTAAGATGATAACTAAAAATAGTAGATCTCGAAGGTAATAATGAATTGTATCTTAAACATTCTACCTTTCTTGGAAATGTAATTGCTGTAGCGCCTGCACCTCTTGGAAATGTAATTACTATAGCACCTGTTACATTTCCAAGAGATGTTGCTGTAGCGTCTGCATCTCTTGGAAATGTAATTGCTGTAGCGTCTGCATCTCTTGGAAATGTAATTGCTGTAGCGTCTGCATCTCTTGGAAATGTAATTGCTGTAGCGTCTGCATCTCTTGGAAATGTAATTACTGTAGCACCTGCATCTCTTGGAAATGTAATTGCTGTAGCGCTCTTACGTGGAATGTTTGTTTGTTTGTTTTAAATAAAGCAAAGCCACATTGGATTACTGCTGTGCCCACCCCAGGGAAGCGAATCCCGAATTCTAGCGTTGTAAGTTTGTGGACTTACTGCTGTCCCACCGGGGGACGGAATATAAAATGAAGTATTGATGACTGATAATATACAATTGTACAAAGTTTTCCATTAATGAAATTTTTCGTCGAACCATGGCTAGTGAATGAAAGGGAAATTTGAGAATCACTTACTTTCAAAATATAAAATTAACAGCTGTGGATTTTACATTAAAGACGCATACAAACATATTAATAAATGTTTAAGTAGCAAAGGTAAGATTTTATAAATTCATTTTACGGAGATATAAAGAAAGCTGAAACATAAAACACCATTTTTCAAATATTTTAGTGGATACACAGCTTTAACAACAAAAAGATAGAAAAAGAAATTACAAATTTATTTAAAAAACCATGGTGAGTTTCTTCCTGTATAGATGGCGTTTTTTCATAACTTTAAAATTTTAAACTTTTTACCTTTAGATTTCACACTCGCTGAAATATCTATTTTTTTAGGAGTTAACGACAGTATTTAATTTAAACAACAGTAAAACAGATAAATTAAAATCTCTCTCTATATATATAATCAAAACTATGCTCTCAAATATTTTTTTCCATAAAAGAAATAATAATTAGTTTTCTAGCCCAAATTTAATGGCTATATGACTTAATAACTAGTTTAAAAAGTCCACTATTCTTCAGACTCAAATTTACATCGTAATTAAAGAAGCGAAAACCAAAAACAAGTGACAATTAATTGAATTTAAAAAAAATACTAGTTTTCGACATAAAAGGAGTGTAGAAAATAATTTGTATTTATCTGAATTACCATCCATTAAGCTCATAATAACGATACATGGATCTAAGGTGAATATCAGTACGAACTTGTCAAATCAAGTACTTTTGAAAAAAAAAGTTTAACACCGTATTTTTTGTTGCGCTAACACTTACTTAATACACTCGTAAAGCTGGCCACTGAGAACAAGGATACGAAACTATATTTCTCAACAATGGCTTTGATGATACAAAATACATTGACAAAATTTTTTCTCCTCAAATGTGATGGATCAACATTTTACAATGCACGCAATTCGAGTAAACTTCGTATCAACATTTCGAAATGATTGCAATTCGGATAAGTCTAGTATCAACATTCGAAAATCCACGAAAGCCGGATAAACATAATACCAACGTTTTACAGTCTACGCAAATCGGAAAAATATATTGCTACAAAAACAAAGTCATATTAATTATTTGAGCTCAGACACTCTTTATTATAAACCTTTCTTTTTTTAAGAAATTTGTTGTAGGTGCGTGTGATAATATGAGAACTTTACCAGCTAATTTGCTGCTACTAATATTTTTTTAGATAATTTACAAAACAGATAAAATGTTAAATTCTATCTCATTTAGTCAGGATAAACGAAACTATTTTGCATGGAAAACTTCGCGTGACATCATGCTCTAAAGTGAGGAGCTTGGTAGACACGTTCGCTGCAAAATATTTTCCCAGGCAGACCCCGGTGTCTCAGTGATAAGCTTGAGAGCTTAAAACACTATAATTAGAGGTTTGACCCCTGCAGCGTACACAACACGGATGACCATTGTGCGGCTTGTGGTAAGAAAAAAACAAGAAAACAACAATTTTCTAGATCTATACAAGAAAAGTCACATTTGTTTTACTGTATATTTGATATGTCCTGATATACTTTGTTAAATGTATCACCATTGACATTGAGACATTTATCAATGCCCAACATACCATATATAAAAAACTGTTTTTAAGATAAAAAGATAGAGAAAATATCACCATTGTCTCTTTTTTAAAAAGACTTTATCTTCAATTCTCTCCAACCGTTTTTATTAACGTGTTCTGTCCTTACCTCAACAAGGAAATACTGCTACAATTTTGACTTGACCAATCCACATCTTCTTAGTGCTAAAGTAAACCTAAACAGAACTCGTACAAGAAATCTGATATAGTGATGCAAAATTTACCGAGAACCTTCAATAAACAGAAGAGACTGACCCTATATTCAGATTAAAATTAGGCTTCCTGCATAATCCAATATGCTGATCTTTTCAGGACTCATATGAATTACTCTTATCTCTTGCTCCACACTGGGAAGTCATCAGTGTCTTGTTTAGACCATTTGGCCTGATTACGGTTTGACATAGTTTTCATTTCCAGAGGGCTGGACAGTGCTGAAAAAGATGATAATGGAAACACGGTTGGAGTTTGGCTGCTGACTCTCGAGGAATAGCCACTCGATTTACTGTCTGATCTCATTTTGGCTGTTGAGCTGTTTCTAAACAAACTTTCATTGGGTGGGAGAAGAGCGGAATTGTTCAGAGATACTGATGGAGAATCAGGAGGAGATGGGGTTGAAGAGGCGTCATAATTTCCCAACTGGCTAATTTTAATGAGACGAGGTATTGGGCTAGACGGGGGAGTGGAAGAAAGACTGCTTAACTTTTTAGGTAAGAGTGGGGGCACATCTCTAGTTCTTCTCTGTCTTCTGTTGCTGCTGCTCTCCCTGTACCCACTGGATTCATCTGAGAAAGACGTGAGGTCTAGTTCACTGGAGTCTAAATGGTTTCGCAAAAAGCCATGACGTTCTACTTCGGGCCCTGAATGATTCTTTTGAGAAGTGATAGATGCATTAATGTGACTGCAATTGATGTTTTGGTATTGACTATACTTTTGGTTCATATACCTGTCCTTTGCGTAGGTTTCACTGTGATTATCTAGGGATTCAAGACGTTGACTATACGCTTCATTGGCTCTTCCAGTTCTAGGCAAGTTCTTTTTGGAGTCTTGTTTAGACACTTGTCTTGTGTGATGGTCAAAGTCTTGAACCAAGGATTGTCTTAGGTCACCCATGCTTCTATGGAAATTGGGTCGTCGTTGAGTAGCACTAGAATCTTTTTCTATTGCATACAGCCCTTCGTGGTAACTAGGGCTGTACTCACTTTCATAGCTGAAGTCATTTTGGATGAAGGGACTCTGGTTTGAGTACCGATGGTTAGTACCATAAGAATTGACCTGACGATTTTCTCCACCTTGTTTTTTCTTACTGGTTTGGTAGCCAACGTCATTTTCGTCTCCAAAATAGAACGTTTGAGCCGGTGGTTTAGAGGATGAAACTTTATGCCCAGAAGTACGAGTGCTTGGTTTGCTTGCTTTGGAAGATGATGTTTTACCAGAAGGCCGTGGCAAAGTTTTTGCGTTCTGATTAAAAGAAGTATAAATTGGAGATGGAGATCGTCTCCTCGAACCACGAACTGGAGATGGAAAGGGCTTTCTTGGAAATGTTGAAGGTCGATTTTCTTCGTCTGACAAATCGACCTGAACGCAAAGATCACTTTTCTTCTGGTTTTTGCGTTGCGTTTGTACTTCAGGAGTATTGTAAATTCTATTGCATTGCCCGTCTTCAATTAATTTCGTACATCGAGGAAGAGTCTGAGAAACTGAGACATCCTCCCCGCGAAAACAGGTCTCTCTTGACGTCTTTGAACTGTCGCACGCTTTAAATATTTTATTATCTTTCTTCTGAGAATGAGATCTTTGAACGGATCCTTCTGGAGATTGATCCCGTGGACGATAGGCTCTTTGTTGATGAACTTTATGTTCTTCTTCGTTCTTTAAGCTTTGATAAACATCATCCCTGATGGACGGTGTTGATTTCCAACCAGCTGATTGTTTTTTCAGGAGTTCATGACCTTTGTAATGCCGCTTGTATGTGCCATCATTGCCCAAGTAGTATGTTTTTGGAGGTATTTTAGAGACTACTTCGCGCGTCTGTATTACAGAAGTTTGTTTTAAAGGGGTTGCAGGACTTGTAGGAGATTTAGAACTTTCTCGCCAGCTTGATGGAGACGTAGGCCGTAGAAGAGGAGAGGACCGAGAAGAACGAACCTCGGCAATTCTCTGGGGAATAAATTGTGATTCCTTGACTCCATCTAAATTCTTATTATAAGGTCGCTCTTCCTGATGTTCGAGACGCGGTTTGTCCCACGAGACGAGTCGTGGTGAACTAGTCATTTGAATCTTGATTACATTTCCACCAGCTTTGGTTCTAGTCGGTTTAGCTACGTCACTTCCGCTTTCTGAGCCAAAGTGGTTTTCCAGCCAGCGGGTGGTTTCACTATTTCTATTCATCTCTTCTTCATCAACATCTACTGTTTTCCATGTTACTGGATCTCTCCCACCTGGAAAAGTCTCTCGAATAATATTCTTGTCTCTTTCACGCTGCATCTTTTCACATAAACTTTCAAATTCACCATCATCTTTATAGTATTCGATATTTTTTGTTGTTTCTTTGGAGATCTCTGGAAGAGCTGCTTCGTCTGTCTCGTCCTCTGGTACTTCATCATCTTCCTGTTCTTCATGATGGTGTGTCCGAGTAGTTTCAGTGGTCAGCTCGCCGTCTTTCAGTTCAGACACTTCTTTGACCTCTTCTTTGTCTGTAACTTTATTCGAGCTACAAGTGTAGTGGACAAGTTTTCCTGGATAGGACTGGTTATTTTCAATGTCGTCAGTTATGATAAACAAAGCACTATCTGGAGTCATAAGCGCCCTCTGGTGAAACTCCTAGTAACAAATAATTTAAAAACTTTCAGCTTGTTAAATGTATTTTTTATATTGCTAACTTGTTTCTTTAGTGAATTTTTCATTTCTCTTAAAACTTTATGCGAATTTATGTTGATAACTTTTCATATGCGTTCGCAATGTCTCGGCTAGAATGAAACGTATTCTATAATTTCTAACAAAGAAAACAATGCAAAACACCTGTATCTATGGTCACCACACAAACCTCTATTGACTCATTAGGTTTAACTTTGTTCGGTCATCACAGAAAAAAACTAAGAAAATAGAAGACATCAAAAATTTGGTGAAATTATTATTATTTATTTACTTTAACATGATTGCAAACTTATCATTTGTTGTTTCTGGGTAATTTGATGAATATTATGTGAAACGTAAAACGGTGTTTATCATTCAGTGTCACTGAATGCTTGTTCATTATTATTCATTAGGTTTATTTGTGGGTTTCAAACGCATTACAGTGTTTAATGTTATTTATTTACATTTCAGTCTTTGTGTACTTAATATTGAGTTTAAAATGAAGAGTCATTAGTGTTAAGTGTTTTATTATTGTTTAAGTATCTTAGTGTTATTGTTTAAGTAAATTTGCGTATTTGGATGCTTAATATAATGTTTAAAAAGGCAGTGTCACCGAGTGCTTTACTGAGTGTTACCCAATAAAAAGTATTGATTTTGAATATGTAATTCTAAGAACTTATGAATGAAAGCAAAATGAATAAGTAATAATCTGTCAACCACACTATATCTGTCATATCCAGAGCCGATAAGGCCTTTCGCTTAACACCAGGGCCCATCAGGTTGGCTGGGATACGACAAACGTAGTAGTAATAGTTGATACGCTATTTATATCATCAGTTGCATGAACAACAATGTTTTGGTGTGAACTAGATTACGTAAATGAATTGTAATTATTATTTTAATTTTAATTACAAATCAGATATATCATAGGGATTAATAGCACAGTATATTTTTACTGCTAATTATTAATTCATATTATTATTATTATCTTAATGTTAAGTATTACTGATTAGCCTTTTTCTTTTCGAAATATACGGTATGTATCAAGTTAGTGATTTATTTATTTTAACCCATAAATATTAATAATTTTATGCATTTAAAGTCTCCAGGTTTTAAATTTTCGAACTATCTTTTCTTTATAAACAGTATCATAAAATCATTTAACACCTGCCATACGAGCCAGCTCTGCATCTTGATGTGGGTATAAAAAAAGGATCATTTTGGAAAGGTTTAGGTTGTTTTGATTAGACAAAAAGAAGACGTTTGGTACTACTTTCGAGATCTAGGTCGCTGGACCATACCCGCGACCTGACCCAAGACTATGAGAGCCAACATGGCGGAGTTTACTTGTAAATGTAAAGTAAAACGACGTAGCAATGAAACATGCTTGAAATGTTATAGATGTGGTTGTGCATGTGATGGTTTAAGTGTAGTGATTAAGCTAAATTGTGGGTCCAGGTCGGATGAGGGAAGAACTTATTCAAATATATTTCAATCGATTTGATATACCAGTTGAATCGGAGATTCGTCAATTGATTACTGCATTGATAACGAAATTTAAGAAACAAAAACAAACAAAAAAAAAACGGGCACAATAGTATCGTTATCTTCAAAAAAAGGGATTGGAATCACATATATAAAAAATCATTTGTTTCAATATTTTGTGGAACTAACAGTACAGTAAAGTCTAAAGATGTAGTGTTGAAGTTGAAGCAGATGCATTACAAAATGATTTCCCTAGCGATTCTCAAATTGAAAATGTAATTTCTGCAATGAAGATTAAATATAAGAAGGATGATATAATGCCCAGTATGGTAGCACCATAGTATCATCCATATAGATTTCATCGTGTGATATTTTCATTAATATTTAGTTTTAGAAGTTGTGCCGAGCTTCATTCATCGAGATTTATCAAAATAACCCTAAATAACCGGTTTCCGGAGTGACTCCCCCACCCCTCCTGTTGATCATCCTAGGCCCAATACTAAAACTTTCTGGGCTGGCTCGTGTGGCATGTGTTAAATCGACATGAGTAAATCATGATTTTCTAGTACTTACCGAGCCTGTAAGCTCATGGAAGGTTTCATTATGTAATTGCATGTTTTCTTCCTTTTTTTCCTTCATAATCTGATGAGTTTCGGTTTTCTCACTTTTTTGGTATCAAAAGTTATGGTCATAGATGTTAGTATAATTTGTAGTTTTAGTTGTTCGGTGACAAACATCGAGAACATGAGTAATATTTATCCTAGCAATGATACGTTTTCTGGCAGTTAGAATATTTTGATCTTAAAGGTTAAGGTCATATGTATTGTATCGACCTTGACCTAAGAGGTATTATCTATAAATCACTAATTGAAAGCTATAAGATTCTTTTACAACATTTAAAACTAACATTTGAGGATTATTATATAACTTCAAATAATGACAGTTGTATTGTGTTTGTTTAATGCCCGCCATGTGTATTTCTACTTCACAACCAGCGCAAAAATCTTGGCGATGACCCCGGATTCGAAACTGTACCCGGTACGTCTCGTGTTATCCATCCAACTACTAGAACAGATACAAATAAAACCTTGCTTTCAGAGATAAAGTATTAGTTATCAGGAAGTACCTTTTTGGCCACGCTTTCCATAGTCCAACAATTCTATGTTATTAAATAACACTGGACAACAAAAAATTTGCAATTGGAGGTAACTCATTTGATTCGGGGTAATATGATGGTGCTGATTTCAAAAATGTAGTCAGAATTTGTCCATCGGCTCTACATTTTGAGTTATCATAATATCTGAACATTTTATCATCAATATGTGAAATATCACGAAATCAGCTCAGTACAATAGATTTATGCTGTGAAATTAAGGTTACTTGAACAGTTTAATGGGTAAAAGGCATACATTTTTGATAACTTCAAACATTGACTGTATTGTATTGGTGTAAAATTCCATATATATATTGTTAATATATTCTATTTGTTTGTTTCGATTTAAGCACAAAGCTACACGAAGGGCTGTCTGTGCTCTGCCACTGGGGGCTATTCTATTTGTTCTCGCTATAAATTTAGTAAATTGAACGACTTTTGCTTCATTCCCACGCTCACCTGCTACGCCCGGGAATCACGAAACCCTCAGTGCTCAGTTTGCTAGAATATTCGAGAAGTCCCTCGAATGAACATAAAAGGGGCGGAGTCAAATGCCTCTTTCTCATTGCCTCTTACTCTCTCAGTTGGTTACTTTGTCTCACTCCGCGCACAGTAAAAAAAAAAAAGTCCGATATTCTTCTTCACATTATGCCTGCGATATAATCAAATTCTGCCAAACTTTTAAACTCTGGTTCTGTAAACATAATTTTTATATATTTTTAGAAAATCATTTGAAGTGCTGGCTGCCTCCAGTTCAAGTAAAGTCCAATAGTGCAAAAATCACCCAAACAATTTCTGCTACATTTGTGGAAAAATATATTCCAGTTTCACGAAGGAAATACATCCCACACAAGGTAAAGGTAGCTTACTACTGCTATTTTGGGTGTAAAATTGGTGACCAACAAAAACATTGGGCTCCACATATGTATTGTACAGTTTTGCACATCTGGCTTGACACAGTGGCTGAATAAGTAGAGACAAGTATGCCATTTGCAGTTCCCATGATATGGCGTCAGCTCAAATATAATCTAACTGGCTGTTACTTTTGCATGATTAATATTTCTGGATATTCAGGCAAAACTAAACAATACTTTACTTATCCAGATATTGCATTTGTAATGAAACAAATACCTCACGAGGATGGTCTTCTAATACCACATCCATCAGCGAATCAGGAAACAGAAAAGTTATCCTGTGAAGAAGACAATGAATCATTTTCAGCCTCTTCATCTTGTTACTATATTCCTCTGGCACCTCTACATAAACTGTCTCATCTGATCATACAAGAAGAGCTAAATTATCTGATTCGTGACTTGTCTCTATCACAGCAGCATGGGGAACTTCTTGTTGGCTCTCGTTTACAGCAATGGAATTTATTAGCTCCAGGAACAAGAGTTTCAATTTATCGAAGTCACCATCAAAGTCTTGCTTTTAACTACAGCATGGAAGATACTTTGTGTTTCTGTACAAATGTTGATGCATTAATGGAAGAATTAGGTACTGAACATCATTCTTAAGAACGGAGATATTTCTATCGACTCATCTAAAGTTAGTCTAAAAGCCGTACTTTTGCACAATGGGAACACTAAGCCTGTTCCTCATGCTGTGAACATGGAAGAAACTTATCAAAGCATGTAGATTATACTTGAAGCCATCAAATGTGATCACCATAAGTAAAACATGTGTGGTGATCTAATAGTTGTTGCACTCCTGCTATGCCTGCAGAGTAGGTATATCAGTATTGTTGCTTTTTTGTTTTGGGGACAGCCGAGATGATAAAAATCATTTCAAAAAAGAAGGAATGGCCAATGAGAGAGAATTACATACCAGGGAAACAGAATATCGAGTATCATCATTTATTGAATCCTCAAAATGTGTTTCTGCCCCCACTTCACATTAAATTGGGATTCAATAAGAATGTTGTAAAAAGAATGAACAAAGATGGTAATGGTTTCAGATATCTGTCTAACAAGTTTATAAATATCAGTGAAACAAAAATGAAAGGAGTATTTTTGTGGTGCAACAGATTCAACAAGTGCTGATGGATGATGATTTTGAAACAGTAATCAATCAGAAAGAACTTACTGCCTGGAAATCATTCACACTTGTTGTCAAAAACTTATTAACAAATCATAGAGATGAAAACTATGCTGTGATAGGGTCTAGAATGTCACCAAAGATGCACTTCTTACACTCCCATTTAGAGTTTTTTCCAAATGATCTAAGTGCAGTGAGCAATGAGAATGGTAAGGGTTTCCACCTAGATACTTCTACAATGGAACAGTGATATCAAGGACGATGGAATCCTGCGATGATGGGAGATTACTGTTGGTTCTTACAGCGTGAAACTGAGAACATATACAAAAGGCGCAACAAATCAAGCAGATACTTTGTAATAAAAATATAATATTATGATGAAAGTTTGGAACATAGCCTGAATGTATTTTTTTAAATTGGTATTACTATTATGTACTGTTTTTGAACATTCTTATCAAAGTAAAAGCTATTTTCACGATATATAAGAATATAGGTAATTCAGTTCTCTTTTTTGTATCATGAGTGGAAGTTGTATGCTATATTGTTTGCTATCGAATTGTACGGAAAGGTGTTATAGTTCCAATATATTATTGCAATGTCTTTCTCTGGTTTAGATTAAATATATTAAACCTTATAATTGAACTTTTGTTTCATTTTGTAATTGGTATCATGGAATTATAACAATGTCCACAACCAGCCCACAGACAGTGTGAGACGTTGTGGGTTTAAGTACATCAGGCCTAATTGGTATTATGAGCTTACTATCATGCCCAAAACCAGCCACGAATGGTGAAAGATCAGCGTGGGACGTTGTGGGCTTAAATACTCACGCCTTAATCCTTTTTATTGTTGTTCTTCAGTTGCTTCCCTAACAGTTTTTGACCTGCAATTTGGAAGTTAAATAAAGAAACAGGATACTCCCAAAGCCTTTTCGGTGTTATTTTTGTAGTTACCTCTTCCAAGTTTATAGTTTCAGCAGTTCTGCAACTGGTGTAATTCTTTAATTTTGCCTTATTTTAGTCATGTGAGATTTGAATGCATTAATGATTGGTTATATATGTACTTTATATACATATATTTATACTAGATATACTTTCACAGGGTCTCCGAACGTGTTCTGTGTCAAGAGTAAATAAAACCAAAATTAAGAGTAACACATGTTTTTATTTCTTGCTTTTGAAGTTCATATGTCATGCTGTGTTGTAGTCTACAGTGTGCATACTTCTTCTCGTGATTCATGGCAAGCGCACGTTTTACTGACGTCACGACTGTAGGAATTACAACGTTGTGACGTTATTTTAGTAAATAAAACCAAAATTAAGAGTAACACATGTTTTTATTTCTTGCTTTTGAAGTTCATATGTCATGCTGTGTTGTAGTCTACAGTGTGCATACTTCTTCTCGTGATTCATGGCAAGCGCACGTTTTACTGACGTCACGACTGTAGGAATTACAACGTTGTGACGTTATTTTAGTGTCTACTGACTGACTGACAGATAACCAA